GTTATGACCACTTATTTAAGTATTATGAATAATAAAATAATGATGTGCAATTTGAATGTATCACATCACCTTTGGGCAGAAGTGAAACATTTAAATTTTAATGCACATATATATTTAGTTCGCAGTACATAATTATAACACATCATCTTTGGACAGAAGTGAAATATTATGTATTTAAGGCGAGTGTCATGCAAATATCTATTTAAGGATATGCACCAAATGACAATGCTTAATAAGACTTGAAATAAATTTTACAAATGTTACACATCACCTTTGGGCAGAAGTGTATTCTAAGGTATTATTCAAGTCAAGAAAAATAAATCAATTTAACTAATCATAAAAGTAAATTTTATTTAATATTAGTCAAATGATTTATAATTTAATGTTAACCGCAAAAGTTATAGCGATTCGGGGTGGGGCTACAAAATTGGGGACCCATTAAGATTAATTTAATTAGAAAATCAAAGGCATATTAGGCAAGAGATTTTCCAACAAGTAAAAAAAATTTAAATTTTTTTTAAAATGGTATTTTAGCAAATCCCTTATTTAGTTTTGCTATTCTTGGTAAAATAAGTCAATAAAATAAGGAAACAAAATATATCATGCAAAAGTGAGATATGCCATACAATTTAAGGAAACACAATTATATTCCAAATCAAATACCAAAGTAAGAAGATTTCATCAAAATAAGGATGAACACTTCAAATATTTCATCACAAATTTTAAGAAAGTAATTTTATGGATTAATTCCGAAAATCTTAGATCTTAATTTTAAGGAAAAGTAATGCCGATTTCCGAAACTAATGCTGTTTTAATCTCACCGGAAGAAAAAAAAACGTGATTAGGGAGAAACAAAAGGTCATGTAATGGAAATCTTGAAAATTGATTTTGATTTTCCCAAGTTGAGATTCCGTTTTGCAGTGAAAAAAAAACAAAGCGACAAGTGTATTATTGTGGGGACACCATTATTGATCTAAATCGGAAAACAATTCAAACGGAAATTTCACAGTTCATAATATCCGATTACAGTTCAGGGAAAATAAAAGGAATTGATTTATCAACATAATGCTCCGATACCACATGTTGATCAATTCTTAAACATAAAATATAAATTAGGGATTTAATCATGTGTACCTGATAATCCTGTAAACGTAGTTAGGGATGAAGCCATGATTCTCACGCAGATCGAGTTCCCGTTTAGGGTGTATCGTTATGATGGCTAAGGTGAGGATGAGACTCACGAGAATAGAGAGGCAGAGAGAAGGCGTAAGATTGGTGTGTT